CACCTTCTTGCCAACTTTGAAAAACGTAACCTTGTAGTACCAGTGTATTTACAACTATTCTTCTCCATTTGACCACATGATATCAAGTTTCTCACCATTGACATGTACCTCACTCCAGTCAGCACCACAATAAATTCGTCGGATTCACAATCTTTGGCTTCTCAATTCCTTTCACCTCACTAATAATATTGTTTTCCAATAGTACCTTTTCTCCCTCGAATTCCTCTAAATCAAATAGGACTTCTTTGTTTGGTGTGATCTGAAAGATCAAACCCGAATCAAGAACCCATTGGTCTTTAGTGTCTTGCACACTTTCGGTTAAGATCATGAAACTCTTTGTCTTGGGCCACATTAGCATTTGGAGCTCTTTGTACTTTTCTTTCTGGACAATCTCATTTAAAATATCCTTCCTTTCGACACACCCAACACTCTCTTATTCTAGCTTTAGACCTGCCCCTTAACTTTGTTTTGAAGTCTTTACTTTTTGATCTATTCTTTCCTTGGTGGTTAGAACGTTTATTTGTTCTTCCTCTTGAGACAACCAGACCTTCAACATTAGATTTAAAACACTTATTTAAGCTTTTCTCTTTAAATTCAGTTTCCTTTGCATATGTTGGGATAGTAACTTCTTTGACTGTTAGTGTCTCCTTTCCATTTCCATACTTGAGGATTGATATCTTGCATATTTCCATTGTTTTATCCATTCTTCCATGTGCATTTTGATCATATAGACTAGGATTTAGTCTTTTTTAGGTTGCATTTTGCATACATGAGTCTTTATCAGGTGTTGGAGTGTGCCATGGAGTGATTTGAGATGTTTAGGAGCATTGTGATCCAAAAAGGGCGGAAAGATGAGCATGGATGGAGACTTTAAAGAAATCTCCTGTTTCTAATATTTTGTGGAGAGACATAAAATTGAGTTAGCTTTGTAATGGAAGTGGTTTCAAGTCGTTTGAAGATGTAATGAAGGAGTTATGACCAATTTACTAGAGGCATATCCACCCTGTTCGAGCATCCTGGAGCGGGGTCACGCAGCGGGGTCAGGGGGTCGGCCCAGACCACAGCGGACTCATGGCAGCGGGGCTAGGGGGCCGCTTATATTTACGGCTCAGTTCACAGCGGGGTTGTGCAGCGGGGTTGTGACCCCGCTGCGCTTATGTTTGGACGAAAATACTTGCTTTCGAGGACCTTTTTGCAATTTCGTTTTTTATGTTTTGAGTTGGAAAAACCTAAGTTTAAGTACTCTTTGTAGCCTACCAGGCAGATCATCTTTGTTCTTGAAGAAAAACAATTGAAAAACCTTTGTTTACTTTTATATTTCATCATTTACATGATTAAGCTTGAATCTAACATGGGTTTAAGAGTAATCATGATAATTAGTGAGTAAATCACCATTGAATTCATGGGTTAGGGAGATTAAGGGGGATTAGTCTAGATCTAGGACGTTTTAGTGTAGATGTCTCTTGTTCCTTGCTAGTAGAGTAATCCTAATGCTTCTTTTGAGTTAGCCACTCAAAGGTTGATCTCTAGACATTTCCCACTGACAAAGTGTTCGATGAAATGTCTGAGTCAACTCTCCTAAGCTTTTAACATTCTTTACCAGGGACACTTGTTGGTGTTAAGATGGCTAGTACACTTATTCTTAATGATTGCTTTCACAATATTCAACAGAAGAGATTTGATGCTTGAGTTGTGTTAGTAAATGAACATTCATCTAGACATAGAGCTTGTTTAGAATTGTGTCTAGGCTTAAGGTTGATAGTTTACTTGATCGCTTGCCATCCTTAGTTCGAAACTTGATCGCCCAAGGTCTAATCCCTATGCCCATGAGTTCTCTTTTCCCTTAGTCAATAAAGTTATTTTAGTTATCGCTTTTCTTATTCTTAGTTATAGTTTAATATTCGATTGCACTTAGATTAAGTGAGTACTTGCATTCTCGGTGCTTTGATATCCCTCAGAACTGGTTCGACAATCTTTTATAATACAACATTTGCCTTAGTAGCCTTGAAAACTCCTAACATCAAATATATGCACCAAAGAGTCATATTGAGGAAAAAGACTGGTTAGGATCTGTATTGCTTGATCCTCATTAGACACATTGATGTTTAGACTAGCAAGATCATCCACCAGCTTTAGAAATTTATCAAGATTCTCTTCAATACTTTTATTCTCATCCATCTTGTAGCTCGCAAGGTTTTGTTTTAGATATATTTGATTCAGAAGAGTCTTCGACTGATAGTCACCTTCTAAATCCTTCCACACTCCAATGGTTGTGGTTTACTTCATTAATTTTCTTAGAAACATATATTCAAACTATAGCAGATAAGATTCCTTGCTCTTGTCTTTCCCTTTGATATTTCTTGACATCCTGATTTGTGACAGTAGTGTCACCATCAGTTTCCAGCTTTGATAAACCACGTTCTGCATTCAAGATGTGTCCCAGACCTTGCAGCTCCAGCTGCATTAAAATCTTACACTTCAACATATCTAAATAACCATATCCATCAAACTTCGTCATCCCAAACTTGCCATGAACTAATTCCCTTCTGAACAATCAATAGCAACCTCAATCAACGACCACACTTCCAAGCAATCAGATCCAGATCAAACTTATATCATCAGAACCAGCACCGGTCGAACCTCGTTCTCTTCACCGAGTGTTTGACTCTGACTTAACAAGTGATCTGCGAATGAATAAGATACTCACTCGTTTTGTTTACCTAGTCTTCGCTTCCTAATGACTAGGAAGAGATCAAAACTCTCAATATTTCTCTATTAATATGTGTGATACAATAAAAGTGATACCGTTACTGATATCTTTTTCTTTGTATGTGCAGCTATTACAAGCAATTTCGCAAGATGATCACCGAAGAGGAATATGTCAGTGACTACCGGGGAGACCATCCTTTCAGCCTCTGATTACTCTGACGATGAGGACTCGTAGAATGAACCATAGAATACACCATGATCTCAAGAGCTGTGATCACTACTAGATCTCTCTAGTCTTGATCTTCGCTTTCTCTTTCTAGCTTATGTATTCTCTCCTTTTCTTTCTTTGTATCAGAATCTCTATTTCTTCTTTCTCGAATACTTTGTTAAGATGAAGAAGGCGATCTAACGGCATGTAGGACCACCTTTGTAATAGCGTATTTTAAACGCTTTAACTGAATCAGCTCAATTAGCTGAGCCTCGAAGTAAACTTGGTCTCATAGGTCCAACTTCTATTTTTGTGTAGTTTTGTTGTTTAACCTGGGACCCACAAGTCTTGGCCCAGATCTAAAACGACAGCAAATACAATAGAATAACATTTTTCTCTATGATCTTCAGTATAGCGCAAGAAGTATTGTCAGGAATGGATCTCATAGGACGGACTAGAATGATGTACTCAGACGTGAATCCGCATAACACATGTATAATTGTCGACTGTAATATTGTCTATGTAATATTATTTCTCATAGTTTGTACATAATTAATCAGTATTAAAAAAAATATTTCTCTTTATAACCTCTGCAGTTTTATAGGCATCAAAAATTAAGAATATCAATTAGAGAGCGAACGGTATCAAATTAAGATATTCCAAACACAAGAAGCATTATAGCATAAACGATAAAAGTAAAGTAAAAATGCTTTAAAGATGGACCAAAAGACTAACCACTATGTGTTTTTCCAAGTCATTTATAACCAAATGGCACAGACAAAAGATAAAAGGAATCCATTTCCGAGTGAGACTGGTAAGAAAAGATAGAAAAGATAGAAAAGATCCATATTCTGCTGTGTAACATCAACCTTTTTATCCCAAAGATACACAATCTTCACCAAACATATGTTTCACTGAACCAACAATTAGCAAGTAGTAAGAAAAGAACAAAAAAGTGTTCTATATAAGCACCTTTCAAAGAATCTTGCTTTGATTTAGAGCTACAAGGGAAAACATTTGATACTAGATTCATGTAGATTTCCCTCACGATTTGCAACCAATGAAAGGTTTTATCTCATAAAGCAAACAAAAAAAAGAACCATTTTTATTTGTTCAATTCGTGGGACCAATTGCTTTAGCTCTTGATTTAAAAAAACAAAAGCATGTGAAAATAAAGAAAGAAAAAACTGCTTGTAAGAAAAAGCAGGAGGCGGATACAAATGCTGTGAGAGTGATCTTTATCGATAAACGTAGTCTTTAACGAGTTTGATTGAGAGAGGTTCTGTCCTTTTGGCTTACTCATAGGACAGCTTAAGTTACTACAGACGGGGGTGGATTCCTGTTCCCCCAAGAATAAGTGGAATTCACTTAATGGAGATACATCATCCGTACACCTTCAAAAACCACACAAAATCAAAAAAACTTTTAAAGATACACCATTGTTAAAAATATAGCAAAAAGGCAAAGAAGACAAAAGTTAAATCACGCCTTGCTTAGCTTTTATATGAAACAGGATCAAGGTGATACTTAAAACTAAAAAGGAACACTAGCTCTAACTGGAAACTAACTAACATATGAATCTAATGCATGTGGTATAGCTTGATAATTTCTTTCAAATGGAAGAAAAAGATATACATTAGAAGACATGACACCAAAGGAACAGTGAGATATTTTATTATCTGAATACGGTGCTGATATGTCAAAGATAGGGAAGTTCACGGCTGCTCCAGTTAAAAGCTCATGGGTCCCTGGAAGCAATTCAGGGAGATTTGATTTGCTAAAGCCACAGCCACATGACACTACCATTTGCAGTAAACGGTATGATGGACCCCAGTCTCTAAAAACAAAGCATATTAAGCAGCAAATAATTTTTCAAAATAATAAGAAACTAAAAGTCAAGGACCTTATTGTGGGCGTAATTCATAAAACCATAACTAGAAAATGAAAAAGAATTACTACTAATTAAATATCTAAAAGATATATGGAAACCTTACTTTTCCTCTATATAAACAAGGCTCTCCAACCGAAACCTATAAACCCACACAACTATCCTAAAACCAAGTTATTCATGTCTGTTCCCACCATGAAACAAACTCAGATCTTTCAAGATATTCTCCGAAGTTCTTACTCAAGAAGATTACTACTTGAACAGTCACCAAGTCCGGCACCGTCCCCATATGCAGATGATAACAACTTTGATGCAAATATTGTCATGGTTCTATCAGTCCTCTTATGTGCACTCGTTTGCTCGCTTGGACTCAATTCTGTAATAAGATGTGCCTTGAGGTGCTCCAGTTTAGCACCATCTGAAGCTGGTGACAACCAAGCAGCAGCTCGCTTGAGCAACACAGGAGTCAAACGAAAAGCCTTGAAGAGTTTCCAGACAGTAAGTTACTCTGCTGATTTGAATCTGCCTGGCCTAGATACAGAGTGTGCCATATGTCTCTCAGAGTTTGTATCCGAAGAGCGTGTGAAGCTGCTTCCGACATGCCACCACGGATTCCATGTCCGGTGTATAGACAAATGGCTTAGTGCACACTCATCCTGTCCCACCTGCAGGCACTGCCTCATAGAGACATGCCAGAAGATAGCCGACTGCAGCCAAACAAGCTCGTTAAACACTACTCAACCACCGCAAGATAGCATCATCGTGCAAATAGCACCACTACAACCGGAAAGATGGATACGCTGTTTTAGGTGAAACTAGTCACCTGGACACAGTAGCAGTAATATTGTGTTTAGAATTAGACGAGCACATGTTTAGCATTTCCATTGTAAAGTTGTAAATATTACGAGGAATGTTACTTTCTTCGTAAGTTGACCTCCTGTAATATTTGAAGTTTCACAATTACAGGCCAATGAAAAGTTTTACAAAACATCCAACTTTACTAGATTTGCAAAACCTCATATTCGCAAAAGAACATATAAAAGAATCAGAAGCCCAAACGTGGAGACTGGTGAGGGGGCAAAAATCAATAAACAAATAGGTCACTGGAGGTGGCCAATTCGCTAAGCCAACTAAAGAGAAATGTCCAAGCATTAAGAAGTTTCAAGGTTATCATAGTCAGACTCTCCCACAAGCTTTTTTACTGATTACCATATGGGTTAATACCCTTTTTGTGTAAAAAGATAACTATAATAATGTAGCTTTCCAAAAATAGTGGAAGAGCTCCTGTTCTTGTAATGTTACTGAACAAGATTAAGCTGTGTAGGCTGTAAATGATGATCATCAGGCCATATAATGATGTGACAACACGAAGCCCCAGAGAAATATGTAAAGGCCCACATATGAGAGAAACATGAACTAAATGCAATCCACGGAGGTGAGTTAAGAAAGAGAGAAGGGAGTCGGAGCACCACAGTTCATCACATGGTCAAATCAAATCATATTAAGAACATCTCCAAAACAACTCTCTGAAGTTTCCAGAACATTATATTTGAAGTTTTAAAATGTTATTCTCCAAATGAAAAATTTCAAACTTTAACTTCAAAATTATTTATATTATACATTATATCTTTATATTTATCATAGTTAATGTAAATTCATAAAACTTTTATAAATAACAAATACATATATATAAATTATACAACAATATTAATTAATAAAATATTACACTAAATATATAAAATATATACATGATTAAAATTAACTACAAGCAGAATACCACATTTTTGTTGTCGACTTTTAGTTTTAAATTTTTAAAAAATATTAAACTACAAGCAAATATTTTAAATTTTATTATAAATTTTTATTTAGTTTTATGTCTAAAACTTACATTTATAAAAAAATAAAAGTTAATTTGAAATATTTATGATATAAAAGAAAATTAAGGACTAAAAAGATAAACAAGAAAATATTTATGAATTATAAATTTTATTTGTTATTGTAAGGACCAAAATGCAATTAAAATATGAAACTTCAAATTTAGAGTTTTGAGTATTAAAACTTCAAATATAGAGTTTTACTCTTCAAAACTTCAAATTTGAAGTTTTGAAGTTTCTTTTTGAAGAATTAAAAACTCTATATTTGAAGTTATAGAATTTCTTTTGGAGATACTCTAAGAGAAGGGGTGGTTTGATGTTTTATAGATCACATGAATAGAGTGACAAAAGGAGATGTAAGAGCACTGTTATCGGTTTGAAACCATAAAATTTTCTAAAAGAAAAAAGTATTACTATTATAATTATTTACTTATGTTTAGATTTTGTTAAACCAATTGAACATTACTTGACATCTGTTTTTTTTTTTGTTCTCACAAGTTTCTAAAATCTCCTTAAGGAGAACTTTATTTTCTTCTCTTTCCTATCTGATTTTTTTTTCTTAAATGTTGAGAACTCTTTCAAAAATTTACCATTGGAGTTGTTCAGGTTCGGCCCAATGTGAATTGTTGCCTAAAGCAAAACATAAAATTGTGCCATCTTCTCGTCGAAAAACCACTAGAGTACATATGTGCTTTGTTATTATGTTTGCCCTAAATTTATATTCTAATCTGGTGCCTAAACCTTTAGTTTTAGCTGCTTAAGGTCAGGGTCGGCCCTGGAGTTGTTCTATGTAACCATAATTAATTCGACAACGAAACATATATGCAACTGTCACATATCAAAATCAATTTTACCAAACCAAACTCATCCAAGATAAAGTATAGGCAGCAGAAATTAATTACTTTTAACAATCAAAAACATTAAATTTAAAGTTTTTAGTAATAAAACTCTCAATTAAAGATGAAATGGTAAAACAATCCATTAACTGAACATTTGACGTGGAAAAAAACCTTCAATTTTAATTTTGTTAACGTATGTCACCTTCTATTTAGATATTATGTATGGTGTGAAATACAACAACATTTTTAAATTGAGGGTTTATAATATTTAAAAATTAATTACGTGGTTTTATTATGACTCAAAAATAGTTGAGAGGATTTATCACAAAAAGTCCTTAAATGTTTTAAAACCTTTATTCTCACTTATAATCAGTTTATAATCCTTTTAAATTAATTTATAAATATTTATATGATACTTAATCAAAGTAATTTATAAAAAAATAATTTATAAATCATTAATTAATTATCTTTAATACTACTTGAAACTTAATATACCTTAGAAATATCATTTGATATTAGATAATAATAATATAAGAAAACTTGTGTCTTATATCGCTTTTGCCAAATATAAATAATATAAGACTTCTAAGTTATATAAAGTTTTAAGTAGTGTCGAGGATAATTAATTCATGAAGTTGATCTTCATACCTGGAGTAGGATGTCCTTTTTCTTTGCATGTTTACACGATTGCTCTTATTCATACTTTCCTCCCGCCTCCAAGAAAATAATGCAGATTTGTTCTTCTTCTCCTTGCTTTTCGAACCAATACATTGTGTCACTGCCGTATTGATTTCTAAAACAATATTTTCAATCTACTTTTCTACCATATAAAGGAGTAGAAGATGAGAACCATGGAGTGAAAAACCTACAAAAACAAGATCATTCACGATACTAAGGAAACATGAGGAAAAACAATATTTAAGACTGAATCTAATGTGATTTTTTTACTTATTATTTAAGCATAACAATTATTGTTGAAATTTTTCTATGTTTTGAATTCATATGAACACTTTTGGATATTCATGTTTTTCATATCTGGAAGACTTTGCATGCATGATTGCTTGCCAAAAGTGGTAAAAGGGGATGATATCAAGTGGATCTATGTCGAGAAATGTTCTTTAGCTCCATGTGTAACAGTTTTGTTTATGGTTTGTTTTTTGATTTATATATGTACCTTTCTAGTTGTGTTTTTTTGTAAACTTGACGAGATGTTAATGAAAAGAATTTCGCAAATATGTTCATGTCTACAATATTATTTGCCAAAAGTAATTGAAATTATTGATACAACATACCAAGAAACATTTTAACATTATCAATCACAGAAGAATTCTGAGAAATCTTTAAAAAAAATATTCAGAGAACACATTAAGTCTTCTCTAGAAGACTTCCCAGAAGACTTCACATGAATTTTAAGTGAAAATTGAAATTTTAAATCTCATAAAAGTTAAAAAGTATATCTTATGTTCTAAGAAGATACATTAAATCACATAACTTGATAATCTTGAAGCTATTTAACACATTTGAAAATTAAAAATATATCTTGAAGTTACTTAACACTACAGAAAATATAAGTTTTACAAAAATAAACATAGAAGACTTCTCCAAAAGTATTTTATTCTTTCATTAACTACAAACATTCATAACATATATATATTTGTAACCTCGTAATTATCACCATTTAAGTTATCAAATTCATTCAGGAGCCCCATTATTTACTAATACACATGAATAAACAATATTTTTCTTTTAAAAAATTGCTTTAAATTTAGAGAAAATAAAAATTTACTAAACATTAATGACAGTAGAAGACTTCCACATAAGTCTTCTCAGAAAAAACTTCTACAGAACGCATTTATATTCCTTTTTAATTGCAAAATTAACAAAAGAAGATTTCTAGAGAAGTCTATTCTACAACAGATCTTCCTTTATAAATCTTGGCTTATTTTTGTACTTGAAAAGTTCTAGAAAATAATAGAGAAGACTTCGAGAGAAGTCACTGACATGAAGTCTTGTCATTGTCGTAAGAAGTCTGCATAGATGTGCGATTGACCATATTTTACTTTTTTTAGTTATGTGGAAATTTTCAGACGAAAGACTTTTATAGAAATCTTCTTTCATAACCAAAGGTTTGACCAGAATCACGGAATAGAAATCAAACAGTCTTTCAAAGAAGTCTTCAAAATAAAATTAAATGTGTTACTTTAAATTATCAATTGCAAAACTAACATATTCAGACTTCCAGCGATAGTGAGCAGATTTCATGTAACAGTTAAGAAGACTTCTAGGTAAGTCTTCTATAAAAAGTCAAATTTTTGACACAATTCGGTTAATTGCAAAACTAACATTTTTATTCAAAAATATTTTCATGGAAATCTACTCGTTTAACAAAGAAAAGTTTGAAAGACCTCTAGAGATTTATTCTTATAAAACCACACAGAAAATCAATTGCAAACTAACATATGCATTGACCAGAAGACTTTCGTTGAAGTCTTCTCGGTGGAGAAGTCTTCTTCGCGAAACATATTTGAAAAAAATTCAAAGATCATTGTTAGATCCAGTGAGGTCATCACACATCACTTCTTAATGAAAGTTACCCATTCTTTCTTGACCAAGATTCATGAACTTGGATAACTCTAATAAGCTTATGAATTTTGAAACTTAAAAAAAGTTAGGATTTTGGGAAGAAATAAGATAGAAAGTGAAAGGAAAATGGTTTGTGTATGTAAGAATTAAGAATATGAAGACTTAGATGTTTATTGTAGGTGCCTTTAGAGTTTGAAATGAGTTGTTCATTGTAGATGGTATATAGTTGACAATGACAATGTTATAGATAAAGAGGAAGATAAGGATGATTGAGTAAAACAAATATTTTGAAAAAAAAACAATAATATTTTTGTGAATAATCTGAACTTCTAGAGTGAATAAAGCAAATGAAAATTCCAAGAAAATCATGGATTAGTTTTGTATTTAACTTCTAATTTTGAGTTATATTTGTAAAACTCTCATTTAGTTAATTGGCATCAATACTAATATCATTTCACAAAATTGATGTAAAAGTTAATCTTCACAATAAACTTTGAAATCATTTAAAATAGTTATTGTAAATACTTAATATTATTACATCAGTATTAATAAAATGATGCAAATTATATGTATCACCATATTATAGTCATTTATTTAAGTGGTGCAGAAGTGTTTTCAGCATTTATAATTCATGTATATATAAAATAAATGATGTAAGCTATTTTTTTGTAGTTGGTGATATACAATTTAATATACCACTTAAGCAAACAAAATTGTGAGATAATTAAGTTTGGTATAATGAGATCAATGTGTATAAACAAAGAAAATAGTAGAAAGAATAATGAAACATTGAGAAAAACAGTATGTAGATATGACTTCATTCTTCTTTAATTTCTACAACTAATTTGTAAAAAATCAACCTTTGACCAAAAAAAGAAAATATTGTAAAAAATCAATCATATTCTTTAATATAGACATTATTTTGAATTTAAATAAATAAATTTATTCTACAATATGCACAAATGCATAATAGTTGTATTACAAAAATATATTATGATCGTTAATAGTAACAACAAAATAAACAGTGCAAGTTAAGTGGATGTGGCACCGTTCAAGTATTGTTTTGTATTAAAACACATATTAAAGAAATATAGTCCTTTAAAATAAATGTGATGAAAGTTTTAATAGTAACAAAATAACATATTGGTAAAAAGAAATATTAGAATGATAAAATGTTATATATGGTGTTGAATATCAATCAGTTTTAAAATAAAAATTTAATATATAAATACAACAAAATATAACTAGTGTTAAAAATTATGTAAAAATTTGTAAAGCAGATATCATAATGATATAATATATGATAAATAATAAAAACTTAAAATGAAGATTAGTGTATTTACTTATAACAAATAAAGAGTTAGCATTATTTTTTCAAAACAGTAAGTTTGAATGGGCATATCGTTCAAAAACAGTCACTGGTTAGGGAAGTTCTTTTTTCTATAAATCAGTTTTATGTTTTAACAGGTAAAACTGTAATTTTGAATGAATATATAGTTAAAAAAAAACAAGCATGGACATGTTGTAACATCCAATATTTTCAACATTTTATTGTATAAACAGTAACACAAGATGCATAAATTTAGATATAGTAACTTTTCCAATTTTTGGGCTTTAACAAACAAACACATCCAACGGTCATATTTGTCGACAAAAAGAAAAGTAATAGATATTTGTTTAACGGTTTCTGATGATCTGGTTTATGGTTTAAACCCTGCGAGTAGAAATAGCACTAGTTTTGTTGGAGCCTCCTCCAATGTTCATCTCCTCGCTGCTCGAGGAGGATGGGTGGAGCCCGTACTCACTGGTGCCACCGTACTCGCTACTTGCCCCGTAATCGCGGCTGTCCAGTGTCACTTTCCGGAATTTCTTCATCTCAGCACCATATGTGCCCGTCTCATAGTCTGAGCTCCCGTCACCTCCACTTGAGCCCATGTATGAGCCCTGCCCTGGCTTCACACCATCGTTTAAGTCGTCCAGAGATGCATCACCCTCCAATATCCGAACGATCTAGTAAGAAAAAAAGAAGCAGAAAACATTTAGTTTATAGTAAGCATTACCCGAAGGATCTAAGATTAACTAACGCCTACACTTACTAGGATTAAAATGACTTGTTTAAATAAACTGTAACATCTATGTAAAATTATGATAGTAAGATATAAACTTATTTTTTACCTGACTCATCTTTGGGCGGCGGCGACCCGAGTGCCTAACGGCAGCAGCAGCACAAGCCACCATGCGTGCCATCTCAAAACGCTCGTATTGATTCTCAAGAAATGGATCAACCAGTTCTCCATATTCTCCGTCCTGAGCTGCATTCATGCATAATGGTCTCGCCTGCCAAATAAGATTTAATCAAACCATGAAACTGTTTAAATTCGTTTTGGTTTGAGTTTAATTTAAATGAATGTACACGTATATACCCAATCGACCAAACTATCTTCCATGTCACCACTTAGATCAACAGGTCTACGTCCGGTTATGAGCTCAAGAAGCATAACTCCAAAAGAGAAAATATCTGATTTATCTGTTAACTTTCCACTTGCTGCATATTCAGGGGCTAAGTATCCGAATGTCCCCATGACTCGAGTCGACACATGTGTGTTGTTGTCTTGAGAGAGCTTTGCCAACCCAAAATCTGCAACCTGGAGATTAATTGAAAAGAATGTTATGGAGAAAAGTAGAAACAAAATTTAGCTAATTAAATCATACCTTGGCTTCAAAGTTAAGATCAAGCAGAATGTTTGAAGCTTTTATGTCTCTATGGATGATTTTAGGATGACCTTAACAGAATTATTAGATAAAAACATATGAATGAGCTTTGATTTTAGAACCAAAGTCGTGAAATACAAATGAAAAAAAAAACGAGATTCACTCACAATCCTCATGTAAATATGCAAGTCCTTTAGCTGATCCTAAGGCAATCTTGAGTCTAGTAGGCCAATCCATCACAGTTCCAGTTTTCCCTATAACTCCATTCATATAGTGACAATGTGAGTTAGTTTTTATATAATTCATAACACTTTTCTAGCACATAAGAAAAGTAATCATTAATTACCATGAAGATGGAACTCAAGAGTGTCATTAGGAAGAAACTCATAGACCAGCATCCTCTGTCCTCCTGAAGTACTGCAATACCCGACAAGAGACACGAGATGTCGATGATGTACACGGCTGATGATGTCAACCTCTGCCTGGAACTCTCTGTCTCCTTGTCCGCTTCCCGCTTTCAGGCTCTTCACCGCAATCTCTTTACCATTTGGCAAGATTCCTTTGTGAACATATCCAAACCCACCTTGTCCTAACAGACGGTCTTTAGAGAAACCTTGAGTCGCAGCTGCGAGCTCCTCATAAGTGAATGTGCTTTTGTTGAATCCCAAAGCCACTAAAGGGTGTGGCGGTGGTAGAGATGGGGCATATGGACCTGATGAGTAATTTAAGCTCATCTCATTGCTATGGATTGCATTTGCGCCTCCTGAAACTGGTGCTGGTGGTGAAGGCATTGGCTGCCAGTTTCCTGGAGGTGGTGGCGGGGGTGAATTCACCCAGTTTGTTCCCATTGTCCCAGGAGGTGGAGGAAGACTGGCAGCGTTATCATTTTGGTTGTATTGTTGTTGTTGTGTGGCAACACTGTTGAAGTATTGATCACCCCCATCTAAAATCGGACCCCAAAAATATAACTTAAATGGGATGTCATTTGAAATAAAAGGTTTCTTGGTTCACAAGTAAGCGAACTGAATCTTAAGAATTGGTACAGTATGTTTTAGTTGGGCACATGACGTGGCCAGTTCTGAGATTTTGGACAGTATTTTGGTAAAAGTCTAAATAAAAAAAATAAAAAAATACAAATTTAGTAGGGTATGTTTATGTGAATTATTTCTTAAATTTTGGATATGTCAATGTTTCATTTGAATATGCGTAGGACCGGACTGTGATGCATGAGTTTGTACTTTGTAGACATTGGAAGAGAACAGCGGAGAATATGATTCATTTAATTCTTGGGTAACACGAAATAATTTCATGTTTTTTCTTTGGCAAACAAAAAATCAAATGGGGTTTAGTTAGGGTTTAAAAGGGTTTTGTATGTACATACTTTTACCTGCAGCGAACGCATTGCTTCCGTAATAAGGCATCTGATCAAGCTTTGATTTCTTCTTTTTCTTCTTCTTCCGCAAACAACAGACACAGAACAATATCATGACAAGTAACAAAAGTCCAGCTGCAGCCACAAGTCCTATAACAACACCCATGTTCGGACGATCGTAACTTGACGAATTCGAGCCACCGTTGCTTGTCTGCGGCAACAGTGGTTTTGGTGGCGAGTGGGAGCTACGGTCGGATGTCTTTGACGGTGGTGATGGAGGAGAAGCGGCGCTAGTACCTCCTCCATTTCCTTTGTTGTTTTCGTTGTTGTTTCCTTGCTGCGGTGGGGATGGTGAAGGAGGAGGTTGAGATTCTGATTGTGGGGAGGGGATTGAGGAATCAGACGGTGGTGGTGGAGGAGAGGAGGAGTTTTCCGGTGGAGGTGGAGGTGACTGTTCTTGTTGCTCGGGTGGGGGAGCTACAGTTGGAGACGGAGGAGGAGGAGAAGATGTTTGACTGTCGGAAGTAGGAGGAGGAGATGTTGTTTGACTGTCGGAAGAGGGAGATGACGGAGAAGGAGGAGGAGGAGGTGCCGGGGGTGAATTCTCCGGGGACTGCCCCTCAGCCATAATCTCACTCTCCGGTGGTGTCAAATGAAAGCTGTTGTGGGATGAAACAATGAACACCCACCTCTGTTTCTGTTCCTAAGATTAGGAACTAGCTAGAACTCCTAATTTTTTAAGATTCTATTTTTAAGAAACGTTTGCATTTTGTTTTAGAACAATGACGTCAAATTCTATATTGGGGAATTATACAGCCAGACAATATATTAAAATTTTACATTTTCTGTTGCAACCTAGATGTTCTTTAAGAAAATTTGTTAGCAGTTTAAAATGTTTTCGTTAAGAGTCTAAACTAGTGATCTAACCAAGTGAGCTATTTTGCCTGCACATGCGGGTATAATTTTCGTATAATTTATCATTAATCTATATTTTATTAATTCAAACCAATATAATAAATTATGATTTATGTTTTAAAATTAATTATAAATGACAACACTCACATAAGAAAATATTTTTAAAAATATATTCTTACAAATGTGTTGCTTTAATTTATTTTAATTAGAATTTGTACTATCTTAATTTTTTATTTCTATAATAAAAATATATTTAACAATATAATACATAAGAAGTATCTTATTTTCTCAAAATATGATTTTAATAGGAATTCGTTTTTATTTTAATAAATTTTATATAAAATTATTAAAATATAGAAAATAATCAAAATTATCTAAATCATGGAGAGATTAAAAATCAGATAATTCAATTAAAATTTTTAATAGAAAATATATGTTTAAGATAACAATTTAATACATAAGAATTATCTTATTTTTTTAAATCTAGTATTATTAGTATACATTCGTTTTATTATTTAATAAATTATATATAAAATTATTAAAATATAATAAATAAGCAAAATATAAAACTATGGAGAAGTTGATAAATCAGCATTGCTTTCTTTATATTTAACTATTAATATTTTAACTTAATTTTTAATTTCTATGATAAAAAATATATTTTAAAGATAACAATATAATACATAAGAATTATCTTATTTTCTAAAAGTAGAATAAAATTAATAGAAATTTGTTTTATTATATGATAAATTATTCATAAATTTATTAAAATATAACAAATAAGAAAAATTATAAAAATTATGGTGAAGTTACAAATCAATCAGTAAATTCACTTGAATTTTATAATAGAAAAATATATTTTTAAGATAACAATTTAATACAAAATAATTAACATATTTTCTAAAATATAATATTCTTAATATAAATTTGTTTTATTAAATAATAAATTGTATATGAAATTATTTAAAGAAAGTAAATAAACAAATTTATCTAAAATCAAGGAGAAGTTGACAACTAAGCAAATTTACTACTCAAATAATAGTATAGATTTATTTCCTTTACCAAATTTCATATTTAATTGGTTTCTAAAACAATTAGTAACTGCAAGGTTTTATTGAAGCTGATCGTTCACCGACAGTAGCTGCAAGGTTTTATCATATTTGTTGGAAAAGATGTGATCAAAGAAATACAATCCTTCTTTACAACATACAAGATGAATACTGAAATCAGTAAAACAAGACATTTGTGAAATCTTAAAAAGTAAAAACTAAATATATTTTCTGACTATCGCCTAGCTGGATTATATAATCTTCTTTATAAAATCTTATAAAAATCCTAGTGGACCGTTTCAAAACCATTCTCAATAAAATTGTTTCAGAGTCTAAAACAGCTTTCACTCCCAGTGAAATGATCACTTATTACATTGCCCATGAATTTATGCAATTTTATAAGTCTAGAAAAAGAGTTTCTCAAACATATGTAAACGCAAAAGGCCCAAGATCACTAAAGAAGAATGAAGAAGTGATGGGCCAGCGACCACAGAAGCCCATAACTCAGTCAAAGGCTTCAACGGTGAAGTCAGCAACTCTTATCTCTCTTGCAAAGGACAAACAGAGTACGGAGAAGATCATTAAGTTGCAGAACAGGTTTTGTCTCCTCACTGATAACGAGCTTTGATAAGCTTTACAGCTGCACAAGAATATCCGATAGTATATTCCTTTAGGTTAACTTAGGTTCTCTTGTATAAAAGGATCCAAAAGTGTAATCTTTATCTTTGAGCAATGAGAATGAATATTTGAGAAACCTATCCTTTTTCTCTGTTCTTGTTCTGTTTTCAACATATAGAACCATAAAACTGATATCTCCAAGATAAGATTTGAAGCTAAAAGAAAGGCACTTCTTACGGTACTATGATTTTTTTGTGCGATATATTCAATTCGGGCTTGATATTTATTTCTAAAATTATAAAATCACTAGTGTAAAAGTTGGTTCTAAATATGTTAGTTATATTTAATTTACCTTTTACTATTTTACTTGAACGTTTTAACCAAGTCATTACATTTAATTGTTGTACTAGATTTTTAAACCTTTCAAATATATATGATTTACATTTTATTATTATATATTGTATAATTGTAAAATCTTATAATTTTAATTATTTTTATATATAATATATTATTGTAATTTTTAAAATAAAAAAAATATTCACATATAATTTTTTATATAATGTATTTGATGTGAGTTACAAAAATATATGTTAATATTTTTGTATAAAAATATTATATGATCTAAAAACTTTAATATGTTTTAAAAGTGAGTGATATTTATTTATTTATTTGAATAAAAGAAATTTTTTAAAATAAAATATTTTTCTTTACCAATTTAATATATTTTATATTCATTTCACATAGTATTTTATTTTAATATAATATAGAATATAACTAAATTATAAAATATAACAATTTTTATTTTAATTAGCATTAATATAGATATTTATATATATTAATCACGAAATTAAATAAGGCATATTTTATAAAAATATTTAAATTTATTAGTAAGATCTTGTTAGATATTTTTTCTCAAAAATATTTATCACTAATATCTTATTAATTATTAAAATATTCCTCCAATTATATTTTTTTTTTTCCGTCAATTTTTTGTTATCATTAATCAAATGGGCCAAGCCCAAACGGCCATCATCCAAATACACTAAAAAACCAACCATAAAGCCCACCAACATAACGGGCCACTACAAAGGCAAACAAAGCCCAAATAACATAAATGGCCTAAGGCCCAATTAACCAAGACGCACCATTAACCTAAACGCACGTCAAGGAGGTAGGGTTTTGGACACGTGTGAAAATCTGGACCATCCGCACGACACGCGTCGCCCACCTCGACTTGAACGCCATCTCCTTGCAAGGCCGTCGCAACTAACCACCGACACCGCGTTTCACCGGAGCTCCGCGACTGCCGAGCCTCCACGAAACCAAAGTCATTCTACGCCGCCTCTATGTCTTCACGCCAGAGGGATCCATCGTTTGAAACGAGATCACCTCCGCCTATGAACCACCAAAAACCCTAGACAGGCGAGTCGAGAACCACCACAATCCTCCTCTAAAACATCATCACTGTCGCCGGAGAGCTTCATCTTCAAAAGAGAGCTCCTCCGCAACGACCCACTAGCCCAAATCTGGCTTCAAGAACCACACCCTACTTAAATACCTCGAACCAGTAACTAAACCCAAAAGACACCGGGTACCAAAACGGCAGCGCAGAGCTTTGTAAGCCTCTACTCTCTGTGACCAAAAGCCGGCGAAAGGGGAGCTGACTAAGCCTCCTCTTCCCGGAAACTTGAGCGACGGCAGTGGATCTGAGAAAGCCTCCACTCCCCGCATAAAGACCGGCGACGATGGATCTAAGGTAGCCTCCATCACCCGGGGAACAACAACTGGACATGCATGCCGCTCCGTCTCCACCCGAGGACCTCCAAACAACCGCGCCGTTACTCCAAGGCAAACCACCGTATAAGGGTGGTCGTGGTCTCAGAGCTCCGACAAGGCGGTCATTGACAGGACTGTGAAGACGAAACGGAGAGGAACTACAAAAACGAAAGAAAAAGTTCTCCGGCGACGACACGGGCGCTCACGCGCCGGCCGTACGCCGGAGTAGGTAGAAACGCTCTTCTCTCTCTTCTTTCTCTTATTCCTCCAATTATATATCTTTAATGAATTAATATAAATAATTAAATATGTCATATTAATGAGATGGTCTAACATAACTTTTTGTAGTAGATATAAATGGTACTTCTCTTTTAATAGAGAAGATAGAATATAACTAAATTATAAAATATAACAATTTTTATTTTAATTAGCATTAATATAGATATTTATATATATTAATCACGAAATTAAATAAGGCATATTTTATAAAAATATTTAAATTTATTAGTAAGATCTTGTTAGATATTTTTTCTCAAAAATATTTATCACTAATATCTTATTAATTATTAAAATATTCCTCCAATTATATTTTTTTTTTCCGTCAATTTTTTGTTATCATTAATCAAATGGGCCAAGCCCAAACGGCCATCATCCAAATACACTAAAAAACCAACCAGAAAGCCCACCAACATAACGGGCCACTACAAAGGCAAACAAAGCCCAAATAACATAAATGGCCTAAGGCCCAATTAACCAAGACGCACCATTAACCTAAACGCACGTCAAGGAGGTAGGGTTTTGGACACGTGTGAAAATCTGGACCATCCGCACGACACGCGTCGCCCACCTCGACTTGAACGCCATCTCCTTGCAAGGCCGTCGCAACTAACCACCGACACCGCGTTTCACCGGAGCTCCGCGACTGCCGAGCCTCCACGAAACCAAAGTCATTCTACGCCGCCTCTATGTCTTCACGCCAGAGGGATCCATCGTTTGAAACGAGATCACCTCCGCCTATGAACCACCAAAAACCCTAGACAGGCGAGTCGAGAACCACCACAATCCTCCTCTAAAACATCATCACTGTCGCCGGAGAGCTTCATCTTCAAAAGAGAGCTCCTCCGCAACGACCCACTAGCCCAAATCTGGCTTCAAGAACCACACCCTACTTAAATACCTCGAACCAGTAACTAAACCCAAAAGACACCGGGTACCAAAACGGCAGCGTAGAGCTTTGTAAGCCTCTACTCTCTGTGACCAAAAGCCGGCG